TTGATCATATTACAATTTACTAACTTCAAAAGTGTAGAAATTTCTATTTTCTTATGTGACCCTTCTCAACTTCTTAACCTTGTCGGTCCTGACACCTTCTCTAATAACATCCTCAAGTATTTTCTTGGTGCCATACATGGCCTTTTCCCCATCTCAGGGATCCTTTTCTCATACTATAAAATAATTTATTCCATTCTGAGGATCCCGTCCTCAGGGGGGAGGTACAAAGCCTTCTGCACCTGTGGCTCTCACCTGGCAGTTGTTTGCTTGTTTTGGGGGACAGGCTTTGGAGCATACCTTGGATCAACTGTGTCACATTCTCCCAGAAAAATTGTGGGGGCTTCAGTGATGTACACTGAGGTCACCCCCATGTTGAATCCCTTCATCTACATCCTGAGGAACAGGAACATTAAAAGTACTCTGAGGAGGCTGCACAGCAGGTCTGTCTAAACCCAAGACATTTGGTGTCCAGCAGCAGGGTATTTTGGAAAATGTAGTGAAGTCAGACATCTAGTCCTTTCAATCTCATCTCCTTCAAAACATTCATGACTTTAATTTCTCATCACATTTCATATAAGAATGATTGTAACCAGGATTGGGAAAGGAGGTCTGGGGAGTTTTCAAAATGGGAACAAAATATCACTTTGAGATGGTAAAAAATTTCTGGACATGGATGGTGATGATAGTTTGACAACAATGTCAATGTAATTAAGGCTGTTGTGCTGTGTACTTGAAAATGGTAAAAACTGTAATGGTTTTGAGATTTAAATTTACCACAGTTTATTTTTCTTGCCTAATTTCTCTAACAAATGTTTCAAGGATGGTATTGAAAAGAGGTGATGGAAGTTTACATTTTTGCCTTGTTCCTGAATTTGGGAAGGAAGAATAAAGAAACATAAATCATGTGGAAGAAGTCTAATTGTCTATTTGCTGAAGATATAATCCTATTCTTGAAGATACTAAAAACTACACCAATGGTTTCTTTTTCTTCTTCTTCTTCTTCTTCTTCTTCTTTTTTTTTTTTTT